AGATTATTACATTAATTGTATTGGATAGGAATAAAGAAAAGGGAGAATGGTTAACAAACAAGTGTAAATTGTTTAGTTTAAAAATTAACAAGACATCAATAATATTGATTAATGATGATCTTATACATGCACTTCTAAAAATCTGTCATATTTATTATTTTTATTCACTTGTGTTAAAAAATAAAATCTATAATATATCCTTACAACTCTTTCTTCCTTCTTCTACTTCTTCTTTTACCAAATACCACTCTATTTATTTATCTCTTTTCTATTTCCACTCCTTTGTCATTTTATTTCTACAAATCATATTTCGTATTTCCATTATAAGGTATAATTATGATGATATTAACTAAAAAATAATGCTTGAAATAAATTGAAATTCTTTTGTTCTAAGTAACTTGAATTTGGATATAAATTGTATTTTCGGATGTGATGAACTTTTTCATAAAACACGTGAATTTACATACAACCTTGTCAAAATAGATCATTTTTATATACATTATGATATTTTACCTATTTATTTCCTTTAAGTTTTCTCTTTTTTAATTTTTACATTAGAATTTAATAGTTTTAAAATGAAATTGTCAATATTCAAAAAATGTCACAATTTAAATGATATATTATAAATCTAAAATATAATTTATATAATTGTACGGAAACTTTCCAAGATCATCTCAGTCACCTAATATGATAAAATCTCGGTGTATTCTCAATATTGACTCAAATCAATAAGTACCTAACATCTCATATCATGTCTAGATGACTGATATTTCCTTGATCAACACCAAACAATGTCAGCTAGGACTTAGCAAACTTGGAGATAAATTTATTAGTTAAGTTAACCGCTAAAGCGTCTTGACAAAGCATTAAGCAAATTAATAAACCTTATACTTGTGGACAAGACTCATGAAGGTAAAAGTCTATGAATATAGTATAAATAACACAGTTCACGAGGTAAATTAACTATGTTCATTATTACAACATTTATTACTTCTAGATGTATACTCCTAACTTGAGCGGAGTGTCTTTTGCTAGCACACTTCTTTCAATTTGGAGCAATACCAAGATCTTGAAGCATTTTGGCTTAAGAGTTGAAGAGCTTACTTATGAAGTTTTTGTAGGGTATTTTTGGTCATGTAAGAACAATAGGCAAATATATATGTTCTTATAAAGTAAAATATATCTGCCTATTGTTCTTACAAAAAGTAAAATATATCCTACGAAAACTCTAACAAGCACTACAAACACTCAAAGCTTCCAACTTCAGGGGTACTTGTCCTCTCCTAGCCGAATAGGGGTTATGTCTGCAGAAGACACTCTAACCCTTAAATTATTTAAGTGCGTTAGTGATGAATGCATATTGATATCTTCATTTAGCCTTTAATATTGGATTCTTAATTAGTTTTTATAATTTTATAGAATATTTTAATTAGGATTTGCTATAATTGGGTTTATTTAGCATGAGATACAAAAACATGTTAAAAATAGTTTTTTAGTTGCATAAATGTTCTTTGGATATTTTGAGGTGTGTTAGTGCAACTGCAGTTAAGTTGAACTCATTGAGGTGTGAAAATAAATTAGTTAAAGTTTCATGATACCTTAAAGATAAATCCAATGATAGCAAATAATCAAGACCATAAGAAGTCAATCCAAGCATAGCATGAAAAAGTGAAGAAATTTGGCTAAACCAAGAAGAGGGAAGATGCATCAAAAATTAGATCTTGCGGTTTTATTTATTTATTTATTTTTCTAGTACACCAGGTTTGATAATTGATAAATGTTTATGATTAAAATAATTTGGGGAAATATATCTTAAAATATTTTATTTGATATTATTTAACTATATCAATAAATATCAAAAGATAATATTTACCAAATCTTTTTTAATCTAGTGTATATCTTCTCAAATATTTTTAGATCTTCACAACAATCAAATATATTTTGAAGATATTGGATTATTTAAAAGATAATTAGAGGAGATTACATTATCATTAAGAAGATTACATCAACAAAAAAGCCTTAAACAAAGCTCAATCCAATTTCTATATAAAAAGACTTAGGAAACACATTAGGGAACTTAGGAACCTTTTGGGGGTTCAAATTTCATCCTCTCTTCTTTCATGTTCTTCATCCTATATTCTTCTATTTTCAGGTTATTTCATCATTCCATGGATGTTAAGTCTCTAGGGTTGATTGTTTCCATTTGTCTTGGACAATTTTCGCAATTTTGATCACATTTCTTGTTCTCATGCATGGTGTTTTTAGAGATATTTTCTAGAAATTCCAGTTTTGATTTTAGACTTTCATTTTCACTACTTAGAACCTCTATTCTATTTTTCAGCCACTTGTTTTCACTTTTATACTTGTTGTTTGAGTACTAGAGTTTTCTAGCTTTCTCATGCAGTTCTTGAAATACATCAAGTAGTTGATAATACTTATTTTCAATGCTTTCAAATTCAAAACTACTCACACTGCTTTCAAATGATGTAGATTCGGCCATCAAGCAAAAATTTGTTTCTTCTTCAAAGTTCTCATTGGATTCATTAGAGGTGTTGGATGCATTGTCCTCCCATGCTTTCTTTTTCTTTTTGTGTCTATTGACATCATTTTTCTCTTCTAGTTTCTACTTCAGTTTCAGTACACGACACTCTAGCTTGATATGTCATACTTTTCCACATTCAAAAGTGGATTTTGCAGTAGTTCTGACAACAGATTTCAACGCAATCGTGTCTCTTTTCTCTCCTTCTTCTTCTTTGAGTCTCCATAATTTCAACTCGTGTTCTCTCAATTTTCCAAACATTGTGGCCATGTTCATTGTAGTGAGATCTCTGGATTTTGATATTGTAGTGACTTTGGGCTGTGACGTTCTGTTTAAGCTCTTCAAAATCTTGATGTCTAGTTCCTCTTATCAAATGTTTTTTCCAAGAGCCAATAGATGATTGACTATATGAGTAAATCTTTTCTACACATTACATATGCTCTTTCCATTTTTCATCCTAAACATTTCATACTCTTGAATAAAGGTGTTCTAGCCCTTTTAACTTCATATGTACCTTCATGTGTTACTTGAAGAACATCCCACATTTCTTTAGATATTTCACACATAGAAACTTTATAGAATTCATCAAGGGTTAGTGCAAATGATATTATATTTTTACCCCTCACATCATAATGTGCCCTCTTATTTTTCATCCAGATTCCATTATGAAAACTCCTTAGGCATAATTTTCTCATTTTCAATCTTTGTAGGTTGAAAAGGTCTGTTGACAACAACATCCTATACACCTTTGTCCACTGATTCTAAGATTTTCATTCTACTTTTTCAAAAAAGGTACTTTTCTCCAGCAAACAAAGGTAGTCTATTTATGGGTGCCCCTTCGTAAAAGTTTGAGATATATTGACCATGATAGGATCATTTTATTGATTAAAATTCGATTAACAAGCTCTGGTGCCAATTGTTAAAATTGAATGATCAATATATCAATCAAGAAATGGGTGAATTGGTTTAAAACTGGTTTTATCATTGGAAAAATTAGGTGTATAAAATAGGTTAAAGAGGAACTTGTCAATTTTTTAAAGAATTAAAAGATTAATAAGTAAGAACAATAAAAGAAATCACACAAAGATTTATACGGAAAGCTTGAACCTTTGAATCTTCACAATTTATGTTGGCTCCTCCAAAATTACTCCAAAAATTCTCACAAAGGATTATTGTTTCACACATTATAGTTATGAGAATATTTCATTACAAAATTTGGATGATATGTGTTTTCAAAACTTTACGTTATTTATATATATCAAAATTTGGATCATAGAAGAATTTTCCTTGTGATGAACGAAAAATCATACATCAATATCAAAATTAATTATTTAAAGGGTCCATCAATAATTAAGATAATAAACAATAAGTAAAATTGAAAAAGATTTAATATTATTCTTCATTGTTTACTATTAATAAAAACTAAAATCCTCAAAATAACCTATTTATCAATTATTTGTTTTCCTAAAAAAGAAATTCAAAAACACAATTAAGTAATTAGCTTATCGCATATAAAAAGAATTCAATCACTACCTTTAAATACCATCACTAGAAGCAACGACGTTATTTTTAAAAAAAATCTAAATATTGCAAGCAAATATTGATGTATTAAAGTAAATAAATAAAAATTTAAAATGTTCAAGGTTTTTGAGATAAATTCGATAATCTTGACAGATAAAATTTTAATATATCAAATACATAGTCTTTAATTCATATTTTTCCCCATCATTATGGAATCAAGAGGATGTAGAAATTCAATAGACTTTGAGAAAAAGAAGTACAACGAGATAGTAAGCCATGATATACCAAGAGAAGCATATATGAAAGAAGAAGAAAAAATGAAGACAAGAAAATGAAGAAAAAGAAGGGCTTATTGGGTTGGGGAAAAGATAGAAAAGAGTTATATATTTTTTTTCCATATTATTTTTATTTTAGTAATTTGATTTACCTTTTTCTTTTTCAGAATTTGATAAGCCACTTTTTCAGAATTTGATAAAGCCAATGATTTTTTTCCTTGTTTCATGTTAACTAATCGATTACGATAAATTGGATTGGATTTTGCGGTTTTTTCTTCTGCAGTGCCTCACCGTGACATAAGAGAATCCATTTTTTTTAGAACTTTTAGAAGGGTTAAAATTATTTATTTTGGCTTTTTGGCACCATATAAGATCTCCCTCCAAGCGATACATACGACTTCCATAGAATATGGCTTTCCAAAGAATTTTATATGTATTATGATATCTAGTATGGAATTCTGTGTACTCAAAATTGAGTCCGTTTAATAAAAAGTTTGTTCCAATATATAACTTTTACTAATTTTCCGAATTAGTCTATAACTCAACCATGATGGTTACAATATATTTTAAATGACTTAAATCTCTAAAGAAGCTAACAAATTAGTTGAGATTACACAAAATAAAATAATCTAAATTACGATTTAAATATAATATTCACGGATGAATGGAGATGTAAATAAAGAAAAAAGAAAATACATAGTCTTGATTCTGTGTTAAGCTATAGTTCATCAAAATCAATCACCTGCACCCACATAGGAACAAAAGAGTGTCAGTGTTATATATATCAAATCATGCATTTTCTGAGTCTTTGTATAAGAATAAGAGTAACAAATTGTTTAACTAAATTTTATCTCTGGAAGATTTCATGTACTTACCTGCCTACAAAATGGACAGGTGTTATTTCGCTCCTGCCACTCTAATATACAGCAAAGGTGATAATGGTGATTGCACTTTGTTGTAATCTTGGGGTTTTCTTCGCTGTATTCTGTCACATATAAACAAACATGTACCCTAATTATCAATTCAATTATAAGTATATGTTAATATTCCTAATCTTTTTCTCAAATGGATATTTGAAAAATATTTATTAAAAATCGTAACTGCATATACGGAAACTATCATTCACTAAAATATAATATATATAAAACAGATTAACTCTTCCTTTATCCTTTATCAAATTTAATTTCAATTTTTCAAAAATTATATGTATGAGTTTATAACAATAACTAACACTTAAAATTTCAATTTCAATTTTTTCAAAAATTATATGTATAATTTTTTAACATAATTTTTATGAAAAAACAAACTAACAAAAAGTCACGGATAGTCATATGAAGAAAATTTCGTCTTATATTAAATAATTAAATAATTAGAGAAGATATTACTCACTTATAAAAAAAATTAATTAAAAAATATAAAAAGTAGAATTTAATAGACAAAAATATTTGATAAAAAGTCAATAGAAAACATTTAAACTTAATTAAATTATAATAACATAAAACTAAAATCACCTTCAAAACAGGTAGGACAGTTATCGTCGTCGGAAGAAGAGTTAGGAGTCGATTTTGTATAGTCCTCCATACTTTTGGGCGGTATAGTTACACCAGCTTCCGCCGCCACCACATGTACAGGTGTCACTGAATTATTTGATCCATTCTGCCTTGAGGGCTGTCAATGCCAAAACAAAAACAAATATCAAATAATCAATTTATTTTACTATGTAAAAAAACTAAACAAATATGTGCTACTGCATGAGATGAAGTTATAATGATGAATTTTTCCAAAGAGAATAATGAATAGAAAGAAACAAAGACTAATAAAACATAAAAATGACCTTGTATTTCAATTCAAAATTATAATGCAATAAGTTTATGAGACATTTTTACATGAAAAGAGAAGAAGAGGAAGTAATCACCGCAAGGAATCGCAATTCATTGACAATATCTATATCATCTACATTTATCTCATCTTCCCGATGTTGCCTTCCCCTAAAACAAGAAACAAAGCAACCCATTATAAACTTTATCACTAAAACCAAGTCTTCAAAACACACTTATATATACACACAACAGAATAAGTTACAAATCTTCTTTTTATCAAATCAGTTTCTAAGAATAACTACCACATAAAGTTTTAATTTTCAAAAATGATATGCATATATTCTTTTATATTTTTTTATTGAGTTTTTTTTATTGGTAATGATAATGATGATTAGTTATTTACCATAATTTATATGAAAATTAAAAAAAATAGCAAAAGTCACTTAGAGTCCAAAATAATGTCGTATATTAAAAATCAAACTTCAAATTTCTTAATGCATGAAAGTTGGTTAAATAATTGGAAAAGATACAAACTATATTACTTGATAAAAAAATTAATTAAAAAATAGAAAAAATTAAGAATTTAATGGACAACAATATTTAATAAATGGTCATTTAAACTTAATTAAATCACATTAATTTAAAGCTAAAATCACCTTATTCAAAAGAGGTAAGACGATTTTTTTTTTCTGACATAACAGAACGTATTTAATATTACCCAAATAGCATACTGTTTTATATTTACATTAGCACATTTTTTTAATGTCAGAATTCGAATATTGGAAAAGCGAATTTTAACATATATTTTCTTTATAATCTTACGATAGAATTCGATTTCTCGGAACCGAATCCTGAATTATATATATATATATATATATATATATATATATATATATTCGCAATTTAGTTTCCGAAAAACCAAATTCTAACCTAAAATTAAAAAAAAAAACAAGTTAAAATTCAAAAACCAAATTCTGACCTTAAAAAAAATGTTACTAAGTAAAGATAAAACTGTGCTATCTGCGTAATATTAAATTCATTATGTCCTATGAAAAAAAAAATGGACAGAGATAGACGAAGATGTTACTACGGTGGATTCTGAATAGTCCGTACAATTTGGCAATGTATATAGTTCCATCAGCTTCCGCCGCCGATACAGGTGCACTGAATTTACATTCATCTTATTTTATCTTGATGCCAGCTGTCAACAACGCAAAAAGAAAATCAAATATCAAACAATCAATTTATAGGAATTGTTATTACATAAAATAAATTAAGTTTAATCATTTCGGAGGTCTCTATTTTTAGACAGAATCTCAATTTGGTTCTTTTTTTTCTCGGTGTCTCAATTAGGTACTGTTTTTGTAAAAATTGCAACAAATTCGGCCCTTGCCGTTAAATTGAGTCAAACGGCGTCAGTATCTTATAAACGTGGCACGCTGTACTGATTTGTACTGATTTTTTTGCTTGACGTGGATAAATGATGTGTATTAAGATAGTTTTAAAATTAAAAACCTTGTAAAATTAGGAGAAAAGTTAAAGGATAGAGTTGAGGGATTTTAAAACCCAGCAAAAAGAATTAGAAGCTGATTGACAAAACAAGAAACTTCATCAAAAATTTCAAAACAATTATTTAGATCAAGGCATGAGATGTGCAATTTTCCAATAAGCTTTACAAATCAGTAAATAACATACACAATCAATAATTACAAATCCAAAAGTAAATGACATCCAGGCATGAGATATGCAATTTCCCAATAAGAAAAGATTAAAAACTTAACCTTGGGGAGGGGAAATAGGAAATAGGAAATGGGGTTTGAATATACGAACTTACTTTCCCTCATAGACTTTAGCATGAGTTCCCTCTTCAATCTGTGGCCCAACAAAGAGATGCTTAGGATCAATCAGCCATTTGGGGTCCAATCTGAACTCATCAACTGAGTAGAACCTAACTCCAGATTCCATTTTGTTTTTCTTTTGCTTCTGCAATAATGGAAAAAGATTTTCTCAAGTAAAATTCTTCATGAGCCAGTAATGAGCCTCCAGCTTGGTAGAGTGAAATTAGATGGAAGAGAACCCTAGAAGAAGGGAGGCATTTTAAGAAGGTGGATTTGCAGAAACCACATCTAAAAAAGTCAGTGAAATTGATTGAACTTTGCAATCTGTCAACGTGGAACGACAAGGGTTTGGGTTTGTGCATGCTCTCTGTCAACGTCAACTTAATTAAAACCTAAATCCCCAAATTCATACCCTAAAGGTAAGAGCTCTGCCTCCTCTAGACTCCATCGACGACCACCGTCAGGGTCAGTGGGTTTCTCCCCAGCCGCCACCTCCGCAGCTACCATTTCTGTCTTTAGCACCATCATCAAAAACACCAAAACCCTACTTTTCATTTGTTTGTTTTTAAAAAAAATATAAATATACACGTCAGACAGAGTAGCCCTTACACATACTCATTCCAGCGTGCCACGTCAACAAGACACTGACACTGTTGGGTTCAATTTAACGGCAAGGACCGAATTGTTACAATTTTTACAAAAATAGGACCCAATTGAGACGCCGAGAAAGAAAAGGACCGAATTGAGATTCTGCCTAAAAATAGGAACCTCCGGAATGATTAAATCAAGAAATTAAAAGTTAATTTTTATATTATGGGTACTATGCTACATGAATTTTAATGATGAATTTTTCCAAAGAGAATGAATAGATACAAATAATACTAACAAAACATAAGAATGATTTAATATTTCAATTAATAATTATATATAATGGAATAAGTTTCTGAATTTTTTTTTTACATAAAAAAAGAGAAAGAGGAGGTTACCACGAGAAAGAGTAAAATTTCATCTTCATACAATAAGTATATCAATGAATACACTATACAAACACACACCACAAAAAAAAACATACAGATATACATACAAAGACACACAAACATACATATAAAAACACATACACAAGCACAGAGACAAACACATACAAACATATTGAGACATAGAGACACACACAAAGATACAAACAGAGATACACATATACACAAACACATAAAGACATAGAGACATACAAATACAAACAGAGACAGACACACAAACACATATAGATACATATATGCGCAAAGACACATCAACACACACATAGACACAGACACAAACACATACACAAACATAAACGCAAACAAACACACAGACACAAAAAAACACAAAGACATAGAGACACACCAACACAAACAGACACAAGCACACATAAACACAAACAAACACATATGTAGACACAAAAACATACAGACACACGGACATCACAAACACAAACGCAAATAAACACACACAGACATAGAGACACGAACACATACACAGACACAAACACAGACACAAATAGACACACATACACACAGACACATGTAAATACAAACACATACAAATACTGACACAAACAAACACATACAAACATAAACACACAAACACATACACACTTTCTCTTTGTACGCTTGTTATATGTTGTGGTTGACCCAATCAAAGAACATGGTGTTGATAAGTATAAGATTAGAATGATTGGGCTTTGTATATGTTTTGTTTTAAAAATTTTAGCATATTTTTGACTCAGTGTAATAATATCTTTAGTTACATAAAACATGTATATATATGTATGTTTTTTATATTAGAGTTATATTTGAAATAATTGTAATGACATAATGTATGTATATATTTTTCTTGAGCTATATGTTTTTTCATGAGGTTTTCTTTAATAGTTTGATACTATTAAAATGAAATGTTATAAATAATAAATTAATATTTTATTGAGATTTATTCGTGATAACAAATATTCTATTTTTCTCGTTTAAGATGGTAATAAGACTATTATTTAAAGAATTAAAAATTACATATTAAATGTATTCATGTTTAGATAAATATTTAGGAGTACAATAATTTTTTGAAGAGAAAAAAAAAACGTATAAGACATGAATTTGATTTATTAAATTAAAATTAATTTATATATAAAGTAAAAGCATTTCTTTCTAAATTACACGTAAAAGGCTTTGCAAATTAATCATAATAATATGTATAAAAAATAAACCTATTTCTTTTAAGGAATGTACAAAACCCGATATACATTAAATTGAAACTCATTCAAGTTTTATTTATAATTTTCAACATTAATACTCTATTAAAAATATTAAAAAAATTAATCAAATTAAATTCACCTGTGTGCATATATATATATATATATATATATATATATATATATATCTAATACACGTAAAAGGCTTTGCAAATTAATCATAATAATATGTATAAAAAATAAACCTATTTCTTTTAAGGAATGTACAAAACCCGATATACATTAAATTGAAACTCATTCAAGTTTTATTTATAATTTTCAACATTAATACTCTATTAAAAATATTAAAAAAATTAATCAAATTAAATTCACCTGTGTGCATATATATATATATATATATATATATATATATATATAT